TGCTCTAGGCGGATAGTAAAGTCTATCAGTAAGCGCCGGCACTCGAAACGTCAAATCTAGTTATAAAACTTTGTGAAAACCTTTTCATTGGATGAAACCCTACGTTACTAGGCTTGAAATCGTAAGGATGACGACAAAACGTGGACCCAGGGTACATGGACCCCCTGTGATGGACCAGGTCGGTGGAAATTTTTTAAGATGGTAAAGTGAGCAATAAACATTACAGCCAGCTTCAACCTACAGAGATAGTGCTCAATGTTTGGTGGTGTTGATCACTGATATTTACTCCTGCTTATATGATATACACAATGCTGATAGATTTGCTTACAGCCTGGCTGTATGAGTCTAATGATGGTATGTGTTTGTTTTCTTTTTGCTGTTTTCTATTTTTCCTCACATATTTAAATTGACTTTTGTTCTGGGTCATGTCCCCTCCCCTTTCCACTTTGTTACCCTTAAAACTGCAGTGTAAAGAAATTATTCCCGTTCATGACAGTGGATAACTGAATAAACAAAATAAATAGCAAACTAGAGAAAAATAAATAAAAAACTAATTGGTAATACTCCATTATATTCTTAGTCATTTTCACCTTTAAGGAAAAATGCTGGGAAGCGGGGAACTGCTCAGGTTGAAGTTTTGCTTTGCGTCCAATCCTTGATCATGTGGATTACGCTATCCACCGGATAAATTTTATCACTTAAGTTGACAGTTTGTTCCTTCCTGTGCGTAGATCTAACTGTCATGTTGCACATGGGCAAGTTAGCGGAAACACAATGGGCAACACGGAATAAAAACAAAATTCCAAGAATCTTTCCAAATGAGATGAGTCAGCCTTTGCACCTCTGGCGGAGTCGGATGTCACAACCGCTGCAACGGAAAGAACGTGAAACCGTTGTGAAAGTAACATTTAAAAGTACTGTCGCTGGTTAAAGAAAGGTAACTGAGCATGATTCATTTAATGTAGCCAGGTTTATAGTGTTAATGATTTCCCGTCATTAGGGTCAGTTCTACTCTAATATTCCTTGCTTTGTAGGCAGAAGGTGCGCCACAAAAGTCGCTCATTCTGCTCCAAATTCTGCCTGCAGATTTTATCCAGACCTAATGACAATCAAAATAGTCCAGGTCTTGAAATAACTAATAATCTATTCTTTATCTTAGGACTTTCTTCTCGGTACAGTTTATTTACTGGTGCGTAAGAACTCATCACTAGCTAAGAGGTATTTTTGCTGTCTTTCATGCACGTTTCTTTGCAATGTGTACATGTATTTTTAAGTTACTTCTTATGGGTCTTTTAATCTAATTTTCGCTCTAAACATTTCTAAACAAGAAACCAGTGGTTTCCCTGTACATGAAAGGCACTAGCACCGAGTGCCGCTGTGCGGTGATATCCTTTGCAATGAGCTCCGCTATGACTTGGGAACAGTCTGATGGATCTCTCTCTAACTGGAAGCGAAACACGATAGCTAAACTAAAAGCGCAACAACTATCGGTTAGAATTGCCGTTGTTTTTAATAGCCCTGTACGACTCATTTTACGAGCAGTCCCTTGTTTCAATTTCTTCAGTTGCTGGTAGGCTTTGATACAAGTATTGTGCTCAAAGAAGTAGCATAATATCTTAGCAGTGCTCGTATATTTCTAAAATCATGCTAGTTTTTGTAAATTATGCTCATTTTAGCATATACAGAAATTATGCTTCTACTCTTTACTTTAAATTTGGTAAAGGTATTTCAATAACTAATGCAACAAGCACGTAAATGGCAAACACATTTACTCTACTTACATCTCGAGACTTTAAGTGTGCATAATTCATTCTCTGAAAACTATAAAAATTCGAACAAAAATCCGCACGAAAACGCCATCTTGGGTAACCCAGCTAGCTAGTCATGTGCATGTGTTGAGTTCTTCCTGTAAGACCCAGGTCCCATGAATGCGACAATAAGCAGACAAAACATAGATTTTGTCTCTAATTAAATTTGTAATAGCCAAAAGTGCAAATTATGCTAGCAGTGCTTCATCGAGGGAAATACATGAAAATCATGCTCGTAAGGACGAATTATGCCAAAAATTATGCTAGCACAAACTATCAAACCCTAGATGCTGGGGATTGAGCGACGAATGCCACCGCGCATGACTGACCGCCAACCAGCCCACCAACATGTTAATAATGGCCTGGCCGCACTTAAGTTGTTCAATTAGCAGATAACGTTAGCTACCGGATAAATCTCTATCTCTTTGATAGCGCGATTGATTCCCTTATACTCTTCCGCAAGCTATTATAGTGCCAGTATATATGGAACCTCGATATAACGAAGGGCCAAGGGACTGGCAAAATTCGTTCGCTATAACGAGGTTTCGTTATATCGAGGTTCTATTTCATAAATTTTATTATTACTGGGGTAAAGAAAATCGTTCGTAATACCGCTTCCCTGTATAGAGGTTCGTTATATCGAGGTTCCATGGTATAATGATCTAACAGGTGAATGGTGCTATCCGATTTTT